AAAATACCTGATTAAAAGCTTAGAACTGGAGACAGGACAGAAGAGTCCTCACAGAATGCACTCTAAAACTTTTGCTCTTGATAATATTCTTTGAAGCTGTCTTTCAAAATTTTAGATATTGTGGTTTTTTGTGGGGCATTTGGCTGTTCCTTCAGAGGAGATAATGTGGAGCACCTGTATGAATTGCAGTAGATAAATCTATATTAATTTTGAAGTAATAAAATATTTAATGTTCACCAGCTGACATCTAGATTTATTCAGTTAGCTCTGTCTATCAAATGTTGCAGGAAGTGAAGGTGAGAAAAAGCAGGGTCTTTTGTATTTCCTCAATAACCTAATGTTACTAACTTAACTCCCAATGTAAAAGTTATATAATTATTTGATGTTTGACAGTTAATGTTGATCAAGCATTGAATAGTTTGGATTTTATGGTTCAAAGTGGCAGATTCCCAGTTATCAGCAGGTTTAAAGAGGCCAGCTCCAGACATGGCTCATTCTTCTCTTGGATGTTTTCCTACAGAACAGGTATCTTATGCTCCTGTCTGTAAATTGGCTTCTTCATAGGAATCAGAAAAGACCTACTAACCTCTGGTTTCAGTTTTTAAAAGAATGAAAAACTTCAACACTTGCATGAATATGGTTTGAAACAAGTTTAAGGTAGACTATTAATAAGGAGTTGGGATGATGCTGGGTCAGTGTGCTGCTGCTGGTCACCATTTAGAGGTTTGTTTCTGTAATGGGGAACAGACATTTGTGAAACCTTGCGTTTTGAAGGACGAAAAGCAAATCTGTACATTGGGAAGAATCTTGAAGAAGCCTGGGGAAAAAAGTAGAAAAGGGAAAAAAAAAAAAAGAAAAGAACATTTAATGTTTGATAAGGGCAGGAATGTTCAGGCTACCTTGTCACATATTAGAATGGCAGTACCACATCTTGGCAGCTACTCCCTTCTCATGAACCAGCTGGATTGCAGCAGCAGTCCAAGGAAGTAATTCTTACTAGCAGATATCAAGCTTCTCTGCCAGCTCACATTTCAATTTGAAAGCAATTAACAGCAAGGAACTTGATTGCATGCAGCCAGTAATTTTCTTTGGACTTGGAGATAATAACAGAAACAGAACAAAAAATAGTTCTCTGATGCTATACACAATGTAATTTAAGACAATTCTTCCAGCCTTCTTCTATATGAATATTAGGCAAATGAGTTTAAAACTCCTTTTTCTCCCTTTTAATATATTTTTTTAAAATCTCAAAGCTCCTGTGGTCCCCCAGAAGTGATCCTGTTCTGAGTATAGTGCATGTGTTTTTTACTGGAGTTGTAAAATATAGCTGTAGCATTTATATTGTAATTAAGGTTGTGTTGGTTTCTCTATTATGACCTTGCTTCAGCAAATTACTTCAGGCTGAAACTTAATGCAAAGGAGCAAAATTAAGCCTTTGACATGCATGGAAAGTCGTCTGTGTATCTCTGTGTGGCAGTGTCATACTCTCTCCTTTTTTTGTTTTTCATTGTATTGAGTATTTTTCTTGTAAATCTCAGGAATTAATTTTAAAAATGGCAATAATTTAAAGAAGACCAAATACAGAAACCATTGTACCTTTGTGAATCCTAGAAACAAACAGTAAACATAAATGCTTAACTGCACCAAGAGGCCGAAGTAAAGGCCACTTGCAAGGCTCTAAAGATGTTAGGGGTGGAGGAGAGAGATTAGAGAAGAAACTTCCCCACGAAGGCAAAAATTGGTCTGTGTTGCTTTATTGCTCAGGTTGGACCTGCCAGCAAAATGACTTTTTGATCTAGAAGTCAGTGTGATCCAGCTAGCTTTTCTTTCCCCATCCCTTGATAGCAGGATAGAGGAGTGTGCAGCTATTTACAGTGTAGTTCTACTACTCCAACTGGTTACTTTCTTTCAAACTGTATCTTTACCACCAGTAGAACAAATGAATGCTTCCTGCCTTTTCATGAAATGGTTCTCACAAGGGAGAAATGCTTCTTGCTTTTGCTCCTCCTACAAAACCTGTCCCTTGCAGCTACTCCTGCATGATAAAATGGTAACAGGAGGGTGCTTCAGAGCACAGAGCCTTTTTCCACAGACAGTGCTCAGCTCTAGATTTCTGCAATCAATCTAATGCTGCTCTTCAGATCTCTTCTGACCCAAACCATCCTGTGATGCTCTAATAAAGCAGGTACCTTGAGTGACTGGCCCTTTGCACCCTTTATGGCAGTTGTTTTGTTTTGGGAAGAGACTGCATCTTGCAGGGATTGCTTCAGAAAATTACTGGAAGCTTAGGGAAGATAACATAACATCTTTGATTTCCCTTTTGCTTAGAGTTTGTACTTTTTATATATTGCCAGAAAGTAAAAGTAATTGAAAAAATGGCTGATAATTCTACTTTTAATGAAATAAATATACTGATAGTTATTTCCCCAATTAAGAGTGCTTCCTGCTGCTTTTTAAGAATTTTTAATGTATTTATTAAAAGCAGATTGTATTTCTGGTGTAAAATTGTGGAAATAATCTGTAAAAAGATTTACTGTCAGTTTTTTTCCTTCCCACTCTGTCAATGCACTGGAGGACATAGGGTCAGTAGAAAACTGATGAGGCCAGCAGGAGATTGGAAGCTAATGTGATGTTATGCTCCTAATATCCTCTTCTTAATCATGTACTTAGGAAAATGAGTTCAGTGCTGGAAAATATTTACACAAGGGTATATATGTTTTACTTATATTTAATGCAGACCAGTTTCCTTATATATTTACACAGTTTTAAAAGGAACCCTTTCCAATAAAAAAAATTGATTCATTTATCACTTAAGGTGAACAAACAGCAGGAGTTTAATACACAATCAGATAACAGATTAGGTTACAAAGCCATTCTTCAATTAGACATGCTTAGGTTTGAATGTGCCCTCTTCCCCCTCCTCCTTGCACCTCTGGTAGATGTGTCCCTGCTTGCAGTTTGTTGCAATTCAGTATTGTGGCTATGATGTTTTGCTCCAGGAAGAAAAAGCTTCCCAGATGAGTTATGTTAGCTAAAATGTCTAGCCATTGCTTTGTTAGTTACATCTTCATGAAGTAAAGCAACTGCTAAAATATTTCCTTCATTTATAGACTGAAGGGTGCTCCCATCTCTAACTGATTTACATTTCTTACAACATAATTTTTCTATGCAGTAAAATAAGAACTTGAATTCTGGTTTGAAAGGGAAACAACACTTTTAAACATTAGTAGTACATCATGCATTCTTACTCCTTTGAGGAGCTGGCTTGTCAGCAAAGTGTAATATTTTTGCATATAGTGACTCAAAAAAAAAAAGCCAAAAAGAACTCACAACCCAATACCTAATCAAAGACCAGAAAAGGGAAGTTTTAATTGAATGGAATTTTCAACAAATTCAAATGGAGTCCATGCTGCCCACAGGAAATAATACCACTATAACAATTTTTCTTACATAGCTTCTTGTCTTCTTGTGTCCTTCTTTCATTGCTTCATATGTACAACATAAAGCAAACTACCATCTGAGGGAATGTAGTGGGACTGTCAGCAAGACCTGCTGTCTACTCACTGTTTTATTTCCTAGCTGACAAAACAGTTTGCATGGTTTTATTTAGTTACAATTCAAATAAACCATTATGGTTTTCTAAAACTCATTGAGTAGCCAAAAGGAAATGAGGAAAATGAATAAAAATAGACAGAAAAGCGTGATCATTTGATGTGATTCACAGTTACCAGGGAAGCTGTATTCATGACTAACACTCTTCTCCTTCCTCTGTATTAGAGGCTTTCCTTACAATAATTCTTCTGGTGATGTAATAGCTCTTGGATATGAAAACATTCTCTTTACTGAATGAAAGCTGATTGGCTTGAAATATAGAAGCGTACATAAAGGGAGAAAATGAGAATGCCTCAATGTTTATTTTTAAAAAAGGGTTTCCAAGAGCATATGAAGATATGATTAAGGAAACCTGCTACATCTTCATATTAACCTTGAACATTATAGATAAAGAAGTGTTTCCTGCCAAGTTACTGTGCTGTTCTGTTACTGCTTGGTGTAATATTTAGCCTTGTTTTGGGATGCCTGATCATGTGGCTCTTACTTTCTACATGGCAAGCAAGGCAAAAACAATCTGTCAAGGACTGTCACTGAGGATCAATGCTAAATGTTACTCAGCAGGATGCAGACTGTATCTCCATGGGTGTCCTTCTACTATGCTTTGATTATGTTTGTTGTAAAGAAAAGCAGAGTTGTGCTTACAGCATTCATATTTCACACCCTCTGTGCAAGACATGTTACAGCCTTTAATTTGTTCCCATTTCAACGTGATGTGTTGTTTAAAAACATATACACCACATTTTCAAAGATTCCTTCAGTATAATCTGATTATAAAGGGGTTATGTGACAGTTTGTCTCTGCTGCTTGTTGTGTGGCTTAAATCTCTGGAGACAAGCTGACTGCACATCCATATAATTTAGAGTCTGATGGCAGCTGTGGTTCAAAAACGTTGTTTTGGGCCACATCTAGGGTCATCTGAGGAGGCACTTTGGCATACATCAAGGTAACAGTAGGATTTTATCCTACTTGCTGCTTCTTACATCTTCTTTAGATGACAGTACTATGGCTGGGCACGTGGGGGTAGCATTTAATTAAACTGAGTGGTAGTTTATTAACTTAGAGCTGGGAGGGAAGGGAAAAGAGGAAGAATTTTTTAGTTTACTGAGTGTGAGTGAGGAGTAGTAAGTCTGTAAATAGTAAATCTTTGCTGGACATTGATGAATAGATGGGGTTATAAATTGTGAAAGAGAAAATAAGTAGTACACCAGACAGCAAGCAATCTATTGCTTTTTTTATAAAAGGATACTGCAAGCAAAATTCCACATTTCAGAGAGCAGATCTGTGTTTGTGAATGACAAAAACATTCACCCAGGACTTCCCTTTGCATCTTAATGTTTGCTGTCTCTAATACACTTTGATAACACTGATGCTCTGCTAACAACTTCCAGGCATGAAAGAATACATACTAGAAGACCCTACCATGTGGACAGAGCTGACAAGTTCTCTCTAGATGACGATCTGGTAAATCTAGAAGTTCTCAATGAGGTACTGTATTGTCTGGGTGGCAGCTGCCTCATATTCTTGCCTATTTCTGCTTCCTAGGCATCTCTTAGCAGAGTGAGAATGTTTCCTTCATGCAAACTTTTGTCCCTTCAAGGCAAAAGAATTCTCACGTGACTGATCTGCTACCCTCACCTTGTTAATTTATATAGTTGCATAAAAGTAGGAGCAGTGAATACTATAATGTGGAAAAGCTTAATTATGAATGATGCTAGTTTAAATTATTTTTGTGAGTTTCCTAAAATGAAAAGTTTAGTCATAAAGATGTAGTTTTAAGTGATTTTTTCTAAAATAATTGATTTATATAGGATAACATATTAACTACTGCTTCTGGCTAAAAATGACGAAACTATCCATTTCATATTTCACTGTATCAGCTATTTGAAGAGTATCTGTAAATTTTTGTGTTGATAATCTTTAAATTACATGCCAGCAAGAAAAAGGCATAATGCTAAATTGTGCTATTGTCCTGTTCAAACAGTTTTACCGCTACTTAAAATTTAATCCTTGAAAAATTATTATCCTGGTTTCATGGCCAAATGAAAAAAAAATTAAATGGTCATGTACTATGAAGTGCAGCAATAATGTGTTACCACAATTTTCTCTTCAGAAGATTTACTTCTCAGCTGATATAAGAAAATACTCTCATTTCCAATTAGGAGTTGCCATTTGACTTAGTTGCATGGCATTAGCAAGAATTTTGAAAACATTTTATTTTGTGGGTTTGGCATTTAAAATATAATTAGAAACACAATAAGCATTTCTTAAACAATGTTTTCAGTATATTTATAAAAATCTTCCTAAGTGGGAAAATACTCTGTAACTATCAAACTTTCTGTAATCTTCTCAGGATACCATTATCCATCAGCTGCAAAAGCGTTATGCTGACTTACAGATCTATACTTATGTTGGAGACATTTTAATAGCCTTGAACCCCTTCCAGAATCTCAGCATTTATTCTCCCCAGGTAAGAGAAATTCCAAGCTGAAGATGGAAGTTGCTTTACATTTTCTATTAACACCACTATCTAAAATACTTAAGTGATGCTGGAAGTTAGGAGGACAGACTAAACCTCAGCCTTTTCTTTTTCCAGAACAGTGTGGCTAAAAAATTGTTTTGTTTTGTTTGTTAAATTTGGTTTAATTTGATTTTATTCACTTCTTGGAGACACAAATTCCACATGAGGGACAGAGATTACCCCAGGCACAGCTGTGCCTCTTGCTTAGCATTTAGGGCTTTCTTCTTGGAAAGAGAAGGCAGTTATATGAACCTCCTCATGCTGAGGTTTTTGCTTGCTGAAGAATTGCTCTGTGCCATCAGCTCTGCCTTAAAGAAGCAAATTAATCAAATGCTGTAAGCAAAAAGGCCAGTTTAATTCCCTACAAATATGAAGAGAGGTGGAGCTAGAAATAACTTAGTCTCCATGGATGCCAAAATCAGGGCTTCAGATAGGGGGCCAGAATTCAGATTCACTGTAAGTTTCTTTTGTATGAACTGGTCATTTCCTTGACTGAAGGCTTGTGTTTGAAATTCTCTTCCTTGATACAGCTCTCCTCATTGTCTTGTGTGGGAAACATCAGTGTTGTAATTTGTGTTCTGGAAATTGGGTGGTGCCAAGAATTACCACTCCTGTTCCAGGTGATTCAGTGGAAATTCTGTGGTATAACAGGCAACTCCTTTCTGTTGAACAGATGATACTCACTGTCTTTTTCTCAGTTCTTAATATGTAGCTAAGTTGCATATTTTGACTATTGTGTGTATTTCTTTGAATTTAGTTCTCCAAGCTTTACCATGGTGTGAAACGTTCATCAAATCCCCCCCACATATTTGCTTCTGCAGATGCTGCCTACCAAAGCATGGTTACATTCAGCAAGGATCAGGTAAGGATCTGTTCATTTTGGTTTAGGTTTTATATTAAGCATAGTGCCATTGTGCTACAGGGCTGTGAATTACGTTCTGTTAAGTTGTATTTTAGGAAATTTTTTCTTTAAGCCTTTTTATTCCTAAATTAGCAAAACCAGAGTAGAAATCTGGTCAGATTTGGGAATCCTGAAGAGACACAGTGATATGAAAGGGACTGAAAGGTCAAATAAGATGATGGAGGTACCTGACCAATATAGTTTCCTGGACAGCCATGAAATCCTGGCTATTGACTCCAGCAGCAAAGTATTGCTGCACATTCTGATTCTAGGTCTGTCTTGACTTAGATATTTTAATAATTTATACTTGTGTTAAATAGAGGGTTCTCAATGTCATAACAGATTAGCAGAGTTTGAACCACTTTCCTGCTGCAAAAAGACACTAAGTCACAGAAAATAGGAAATTGTCTAGTAAAATAAATTAAGTATGGTTCTGTTATAAATGTAATAAGGACACAAATCCAACTATATAGCAATGATTTTAATGAGAATAAAATACCATGTTGTAGAAGATTTTACTACTTTCTTAAGATTATGACATCATACTCTTTCTAATTTGATGTGCTGTGTGTACATGAATATTGAAGGCTGATAATTATTTTTGTTTATAAAATTCTTCTGATTTTACCCTGGACATCACACAACAATTAATAGAAAATGTTCTCTTCATAGTCACAAAACCAGTATAAAGTAGTAAAAAGCCTGAAATCAGAAAGGTATTAAAGAAAACAAGTACTCATGTTAGAGTAACTTTTGTGAGAATTTTTTATCTGATTAGATAGTGTCATTGATACAGTATCTATTTCCTAGAGCAAAAATATGCTGTCAGGCAACACAAGGTACCACCAGATAACTGCTGCAGCTTTCAAAGCTTTTCACAAAGCTCAGTTCTATATGAAGGGGCATTGCATCAAGTATTTTAGGACCTTGTATCTTGTGTATACACAGTATCATGCAAATTGGTTTTGGATGTTTGCATAGAAACCTGTGAATCTATGCAACTGCTCAGTGTTAACATTTTAATTATATGACTGTTGATAATGTGCCTTAAGTAGAATAATATTTGTATTAGTGGTCTGTAGAATACATGGGGAGAAAGGATAAATAATAAATGCTGTTAGAATTCAAACTTTCCATGATCTGCATTGTTCAATGTTCAGGTGGGAACTGGTTTTCAACTTCCATTTTGCCCATGAAGCATAACAACAGAGAGAAGGAAAGTGATTTAGGCCATTCTAGGTAGCCTCTTGAGTCTGGATGCCTTTAAAGAGCCTATAAAATACCATGTGCTAAGGACTGCTGGGACAGGAAGAAGGTGGATATGTCCTCCCAGAATCACCCAGTGAACAGTTGCACATTTTTCTGAAATGTTTAGTTTGCTGTTCTGGCTTGAATATCAGCATCACCTACAGAATAGCCTCTCTACACAGGACCTGTTATTGAAGATTATTTTTCAGAACAAGCTTTTGGTCAATGTGTCAAAAACAGCTGTACCCTGTGATTCATGTTAGTTCACATGAAATCAGTGCAGTGAGCTCAGACATGGTCACTTCTTTGTGTTCTAGCCCTTCAAAATTCAGTCATTGCTTCACAGATGCACCTTGGGATCAGGCATTGCAAGATGCATTTTAATAATCCAGGGAATAAATTACTACAATGAGCCTTTGCTGATATCTCCTTTCAGAAGGGAGTTAAAGGACCCTTAAAGTATTCTGTAGTTTTGGTACTAAACATGAAATAACAGGTAGGAGTAGTAATAACAGAAAACAACCATATGGTGAACTATGCACTTAAATATTTTGTTTTCTGTGTTCAGTGCATTATCATCAGTGGGGAAAGTGGTGCTGGAAAGACAGAAAGTGCCCATCTGATCGTCCAACATTTGACCTTCTTGGGAAAGGTATTTCCTAGCCAATTATGTAAAATTATGAAGAAATCCTCCCAACTCTACCCCAATGTTCACTTTATTTAATCTTTAATACTTAAAGCTGTTCATGTGAATTGTCACACTTGGTTTAGGGACATCATGCATGTGAGAGTATTGAATTAAGATGTGAGTGTGACTCATTTCAAGCCAGTCAATTATTTTTTAAAGCGAAGGTTCCAAATTTTGTGTTCAGTACCTGTAGCGAAGTACAGTGTTTATCACATATAACATTTATACAATAAAGAATGAAAAATATTATTGTGGCTCTAATCTTAGAAGCTCTTACACATTTAAATGTTATGAGTAATGCTATTAACACAAAATAATTGGAAAATTACCCATGTCAGCTTAACCCTAAGTAGGCATCTTTAATCCAATGTGCTTTTGGTACTCTTACTGATTATAAAACAAGTCAAAGGTAGAACAATTGCAGAGAAAGAAGAATCTATATTTTGCTACCTGTGGGAGATTTTATCAGTTTGTTGGACTTCCTGTTGTATGAATAGAAAGGTTAGCACAGTACCTAATTCCATACAAGCATAAGAAAAGGATTCTTTGCTTCTGGAGCAAGAATTGGATTGGGGTAGGCATTATATTCTCTTAATTATGCTTCTGATTTGCATCCCTTCTGTCAAGGCCAATAACCGTGCTTTGCGTGAGAAAATCCTCCAGGTGAATCCTCTGGTTGAAGCGTTTGGGAATGCCTGCACTGCCATCAATGACAACTCAAGTCGCTTTGGAAAATATCTGGAAATGATGTTTACACCTACAGGAGCTGTAATGGGGGCAAAGATTTCTGAATATCTACTTGAAAAGTCAAGGGTCATAAAACAGGCTGTGTAGGTATACTAATTGCCTGTGCTATAGCATTTCTGTAGTGTTTGAATTGATTTAATTATCAAAATTCTGTGGTTTAGATACTTTTCTGTCTTCTGCTAAAATAAAAATCCTTTGTACCAGTGCTATGACAGCAAGAATAGTCCTGTTCTTCTAGAGTTGAAGGCAGAGCCACTTAATTCTTTGGGGTAATGTTGTGTTCACTGGGTTTTCTGTGTTTCACAGCTGCTAATCCTATGCTATTAAAACAAGTGGAAGGCTTCAGTGAGCTCATTATAAGAACTACTTTTACATTTGTTGTACAAGATGCCAGAAGAATAAACACAGGTGCTTTAAAAGGATACTTCTTTTTTTTTCAGGGGAGAAAAAAATTTCCATATATTTTATTATATTTATGCTGGCCTTTATCATCAGAAGAAACTTTCTGAATATAGACTTCCTGATAAAAAGCCCCCTAGGTAATTATTGCTCACTTGTTTTAACTGCTCATTGTAATTAGCTATTGATCAGCACTTGCTTTCAGTATGATGCCTTCAAATCTCTCTTAATCCTTCTCCATTCCTTAAGGATCTTTTTTAATCCTCTCAAGGTGGGAGGAAGATGGACACTAAGGCATTACATTATTTGCATTTGTTTGAGAAGTTGAACTATTAAAAGAGAAGGAGGAAGAACCAAGCTCATTATGTAGATATTTTGTCATACTTTCAAACGCAGACAACCCTCCTTATGATTTCTTTCCTTACATTCAGGTTCAGGAAGAACTCAGAATATGCTTTGGAGGTTTTTAATTGTTGTTTGTACTTTGAGTGCATCTGATCAGTACTGGGTGAGGGAATGTGTGTGAAATGTTGGTAACATAATTAGACATTAACAAAGAACAATGCAGATGTTAATGCAACAGAAACAAAAGCTTCTTATGAATTAACATCACATTATATAATTGAAAGTTATTGAGATAAATGTTATTTCCAGTTACTGAGGAATTTGTATTGGCATATGTGGTAGTGTGATGCCTTCTTTCTCCCACTCTGTTTAGATATATTGATAATGAAACTGGAAGAGTAATGCATGATATTGTTACTAAAGATTCCTATGGAAGACAATTTGAAGCAATTCAGCATTGTTTTAGAATTATAGGATTTACTGATGAGGTAAGAGATTCAGTTGCTAAACCATTGTTGACCTTATTTAGGAAAACCACCTCCAGTGCTGCCCTTTGGTTTTGTGGATGTTCAAAATTTTGTGAGCCACAAAATCTCTGTAATGACAGAAGTGAGCTGTGAGAGCATAACTTCCCACTCAGAAGGCAAGACCAGCCTGAGGTCCCAGTTAGTACTCAGGCAATTCTGTTGTGCTATGTCTTGTGTGAATAGAAGCTTACTTGAACTTGTAGAACTTGGTCTCAGAGAAGGCTACAAGCTTTAATATCCATTCCAATATCCATTATGTTTTTCCTTCATAGCCTAAATATGATGTGTGTGTCTTACGGAATTCCTTTAAAGGACTTCTTGTCATCTTTTACAGGAAGTGTATTCAGTGTACAGAATACTGACTGGAATCTTAAATACTGGAAATATTGAGTTTGCTGCTATTTCTTCACAACACCAAACAGATAAAAGTGAGGTTCCTAACCCAGAAGCCTTAGATAATGGTATATACCTTTCAACATTGTCAGTTCTGTATATGCAATTTGACTCTATTTGTGATAATCTCTAGCTCATGGTAGCAGTTGGTCAATGCTGGGGATTTCCACTGCATAACCACAATTGTGTGTCTTTTTCCACTGTCTTTCAGCTGCTGCACTGCTAAGCATTGGGTCAGAAGAACTTCAGGAAGCCCTAACGTCCCACTGCGTTGTGACGCGGGGCGAGACCATAATCCGGACGAACACGGTGGACAAGGCCGCGGACGTGCGGGATGCCATGTCCAAAGCGCTTTATGGGCGGCTCTTCAGCTGGATCGTAAACCGCATTAACACGCTGCTTCAGCCAGATAAAAATATATGGCAAGTTACACATCACTGAAACGTGTATTTACTGGGCACGAGTCAGCTGGCTTCATCCATTTGTATATTTTTGATTTTGCAGAAAAAGCGCTGTGTTTATTTTGGCTTAGGCTTCAAAATGGCTTTCATGCTGTGATACTGAATCCTGTTTCCAGGACATTAAGCCCATCATTTTCAAAGAGCTGAATAGAGTTTAGCTACTGAAGTCAATGGAAATTGGGTGGTTGAAGTGCTGTCCACTTTTTTAAAAGATGCTTCCTATGTAATAAACATGAAAATCATACAAAAGGCTGATAAATAATTGAAGTACACTGAAAAAGTTCAGTACACAGTCCTTACAGTCCCCCTGCTTTTATAAGCAAGTAATAAATGCAGATTTCAGATTATTATTGTGCTGCTAATTGAGATGTGATTATTTTAATTTTTTTTTACAATTACAGAAACATTATATTGCACATCCTTATGATTTCATTGTCAAGCACTGATCTGGTTGGTTTGATCTTTTGAAGAAGCTGTTGAGATTTTAGAAACAAGGAATCTCTCAGTAAATGTGAAAATTCCTCTGATCTGAGATCTCTACTTGCTTCTTCACTATGTCATAGAGACATATTCTCGTCCATTTAATGCAGTTCTGGTAGTGACTGAATGTACTTGAGTTAGAACATGGACAGTTCAGCTTGTAGCAGCAGCAGTTTTGGTAATTACCTTCTGAATGAGTGTAGCAAAAACGTACCATTAAACCTTGACACCTTTTCTCTGCCTGGAGGAGCAGACAGTAGATTTTATTTGGGATCTGCCTACTGAAACCCCTTGTTTCAACATGGCTGCTAAGTGTCTGTTACTCAGTACCTACGATTTTTCTGCCTTCTTCATGGAACTTTGCAAGAAGCAAGTGGAAAACAGAAGTCTTAGTAATGCTGTACAAATGCACAAGTTGTCTTAGGTTCAGACACGCTTTTCCTCCTTGATTTTTGCAGCAGAGTAAATCAGTTATACAATGTTAGTTAGCAAATTTATTTTTATTTTAACTTGGTGTTGCCCATAATGAATTTTGTTTGTATCTTCACATGCAGCAATGCTGAAAGTGGGATGAATGTTGGGATACTAGACATATTTGGATTTGAGAACTTTGCAAGAAATTCATTTGAACAGCTGTGCATAAATATCGCTAATGAACAGATCCAGTTTTACTTCAATCAACATATTTTTGCACTAGAGCAGGTAAATTCAACTCTGTTGAGGTCTAGCTGAATTCAGTATCCTACACCATAATCCTATTCAGGACTACTTTATAAAATGAGTATGTGATTTAAATGTGAGATAGTGACATCATTCTGTTGAAGCTGTGTAAATTATGTCAGTGAGGCCTACAGAGCATTGCTGTGGATCATAAATGCCCAAATGATGATGTTGCTTTTACTGTTTGGTTATTAAAACTGTGCTGGTGACTTTTGTAGATGGAATATCAGAGTGAGGGAATTGATGCCACTACAGTGGAGTATGAGGACAACCGTCCACTTCTAGATATGTTCCTTCAGAAGCCCATGGGTCTCCTGTCTCTACTAGATGAAGAAAGTCGATTTCCTCAGGCAACAGACCTAACTTTAGTTGGTATGTGCAAGTAAAACTCTGGGAAAGCTCTGGGAAATGACAAACGCATGTATAAATTCAATGTCATCTTTATTCAAGTTTTCCTACCCTAGCTAGCCTGAGGCTGTGTCATTTCATTTGATGTTCTAAGTATATTTTTCACTGTGCTTCATAATTTTTCTCTGCTTACATGTTTTCTATCCTTTTCAAATTGGAAAAGTTGTCTTAAGTATCAGGTGGCAAGGGCTTATTGTTTTTTCAGTGTACAAGGAAATATCCTGTGTCTTGTCCATGTATGTAGCATTAGTGTTGAAAATAAAATTTAGACTTCCCAGGCTCCTAGGCCCATGTTTATCCAATTAGAAAATACTGCTTCACTCCAGATTATCTCATAATACATAGGAAGTGTTATTTCTGGTGTGGCATTTGGCTATTTCCTTGTCTTCATCCATATTTTACGTATATTTTGACAAATTTTGGTGCTAATTTTAAATACACAGCACATGCCACGTTTAAAGCTGTTGTGTTGTGTTTATTTACTAGAGCTGCATTTTTCCCTGCGATATGACACAGTTCCATTTCCTTCAATGGAATGTGCTGCAGAGACCCAAACAGTTAGAGGAAAAACAACAGTTTCCAGTTAAATTGCACAACACATGTACAAGATTTTTCACTACTGCTAGGCTGAGCTGAAACTGGAATTCAGGTCACAGACAGAATGAGTACTGTGGTTTTATTCTGCTTCTTGTCTTGGTTTGAAACACCCGTGTCTGCCAAGGTAGGCAGGAACCTCCTTTGGAATGGAAAATATTACCTCTTTCTCTCTGAGTTATAGTAATAACTTTGAAATTAATGAGCTTTCAGGCAAAGATATGGGAAAAAGAATAGCAGTTCTTTATTAATATGTATACACAAGTAGATATGTATAACAAGACAAACAGCCAACACCTCTGGCGGCAGCAGCAGCGAACGGAACCGAACAGAACCGAACGGAACGGAACGGAACCGAGCCGGAGCCCCGGGGCCGCCTCCCTTGGGCTGCGGGCGCTTCCCTTCGCTGCAGTTCCGCTCGCGGCCGCCAGGGGCGCTGCTGGCTCCGGCCCGGCGGGGCGGCTGCGGTGATTGCCCTGCGCCGGCAGGGGGCGCTGTGGCGCGAGCTCGGCCGCGTCTCCCTCACGGGCCAATGGCGGCGGCCGGATGGGGAATTGGGCTGGATGGAGAATTGGGCTGCAGGAGCTGCGGCTGGAGCCCCAGAGGCGGGCGCACTCCAGGGTGGACCTCCAGCACTCCTCCTTTGTGTGCGAAAGTTGTCTGCCTCCCTTTTGGCTTGTGTAAATTAGTTAATACTGAATATTGAACTACTTCAGAGGTACTTTCCCTTGTGCAGCGCTGCTGGGCCTTACTGCTGCTCTGTACATAGCACAGCAGGCTCCCTCAAGCAGGCAGCAAAGTGGGATATTTTGCCCTGTCCAGGTGTGCCAGACAATCATTAATTCCACAACTCCGTCCCAGCCTCTAGAAATTCCAAACTTAGTTATTTTTCCTTAAATACAAGCTCAATTCAGTGGTAATAGAAAGAAAAACCTAACAAAAATATTAATTAATTTTCTAATTAACATTAGAAAAATATTTTAATAATATTTTCTGATGTACACAGAATGACAGAGAATTTTATCAATTGATTCTGGCCTCAGATCTCAAGTTGCTTGTTCAGGTAAATTAGTATAAAAGCAAGCTTCACATTATAAATACTAATTCTTACTAAAATGGGTTCCTTTGGATCCTGCTTCTTTCCAGGAATGTTTCCTTGGCTCAGCAGGCAGGAATTGCTACCTGGGCCCTCAGTGTTGGACAGACAGCACTAATTTAATTACAAAACATTAAAGAGCCTACAAAATATCACAGGACATAAAAGACATTTGTCTTAGAAACTTGTGCTCCTTCTTCCGTCAGCTCTTTAGGGGTAATCACAGGAAAAATAAAGTCTCCTTAGAAGGCGTTTTATAGAGAAGCTTCTTTTTTTCTGTGGAAGTCCAAAGGTATATGAGGGACAATTCCAGACGGAGCTCATGAACATATCCTTGAAACCTGATGTACAAAGCTAAATGGATGCAGAAAGGAAGAAAGAGAAAATACAAATAGTAGGTATTTTAGTGACTGTGATATATGCACAGTTTTCAGTGTACGTATATATAAGAGATAAACTCACCCCAAACCCTGTATATACATAAGTAAATTCATTGCACATGAAGAGAAATCATCACATCTTCTCATTGGGTCTTCCTGTTTAATATTTTTCCATGTACAAAGTCATCCACAAACAATGATTTTTAAGGACAGTCTTACTGGGCTAGTTGAAAGTGAACTGTTCTATTCAGATATGACAGCTTGGTATTTCTGAGCAATCTGATAATATGTGTTTATAGCAGTTCTGACTTCTTGAGTAGCAATTTAGTAGGCTAATTAGGATGAAGATTGTAGTTAATCACTCTGTCACTTAAATCAACATCTTTTCTCAATGTCTAGATAAGTTTGAAGATAACTTACGATGCAAATACTTCTGGAGACCAAAAGGAGTGGAACTGTCATTTGGAATTCAGCACTATGCTGGAAAGGTAAGGTCATGTGATTTTTATTTCGTTCAGATAATAGTGGTATGGTCATCACTTGTTTTTATCTGAAATTTCTGCTTTATGGTTCTTTTCCCTCATTTTAATAGAAAAAATAATAAAGTTTATGCAAACACACACTCTACAATGAAACTTTTATGTGTAGCAGTCGATTTTGGAGCCTATCCTTTGGGCTGTTACACAGATTCTGTAGACAGTAAGCATCCTTTTTCTGCAGGAAACCTGGCCTCAGAAGTGCCAGTACTAAAGTCATTTCAAAGGAGGGACTCCATGGAGCCAGGGCAGGTTATGTGCTTGCTAACAGCATGTGAATGCCACAGTAGTTCTGTGTGACACTGTCATGCAAAGTACATGCATGAAAAGCAGTATAAACCAGTATCTGTAACAGAACCTAAAGTCCTGTAGAGGGCATTGGAAAGACTGAGACTTGCTAGTAGCGGTGTTTTCTTGTATTCTGTATCTTCTGTTCTCAGAGGCTCACATTCACATATTATTTTATATGGAGAGTAACAGACATAACATAACACAACGTGAGCTTTGCTTACAGTTTCAGGCCCAAATATTTGTTCATAGATAAAATTGAAATATCCATGTTTTATATAGTTACCAATTAACTCTCATCTCTGTATCATTATAAGATTGAAAAATTTTAAGATGTATTCCAGTAACTTTGGTTAGAATTTCTGTCTTGTTAAGAATAACTATTAAAATTCACACAGTTTTAGTTAATTCTTTGTACCCAGATGGCCAAATAATAAAATACAATAAAATAATAAAAACAATACTGGCCAGTTTTCTATTGCTGGAGAACATTCCATTTCTGTGTAAATTAATGGACTTCAGGGAAATTGGGCTAGAGAGGAATATTGCAAGTGATACTAAAACAGCTCTAAAAAATCATTGCAATTAAACAAAATGAAAAGTTAACTGATTCTTATATTAATACAAATATCCAGGCATTAATTTCTAATCAAAATGGTTAAAATAATTGAAATAGAGGAATGTTTGGTTGTCCTAATATGGTTTTCAGTGCCATGAGAAGATGATTTAACATACCTACATTGTGTCCAACTTATTACTATTCCTCTAGCAGGTCTACTTATAGGTCCCACGTTTGATGCAGACAAGCAATATAAAGGGACCATCTGAGAATCATTTCTCACATCACAAGAAAATGATCCACTGAAGCTTTAATGAAGGATCCCTGTTGTGTTGCATCATGCATGGAATCGTTTGACATGGCCAAGCATAGCACAACAGGATTTAAGCCATTTAACCCAATTTGATGTGCAATGGCATTCTATGAATATAGATACTCTGTATAGCCAATTTGCATTCTGAACACACTGCTCTAGTTCACTTTTAAGACCTTTGCAGGTAATTCATTTGCTTGTCAGACCAATCTAGCTGGTCCGCTTGGTCATCCTGACCATTCACGTTTTAAAGAACATAGTAAGTTTTAGGTAACCCTTTTCGTAAAAATTTCTAATTCTGTTTTCCCCCACCAGGTATTATATGATGCCTCTGCATTCCTTGAGAAGAACAGAGACACTCTTCCTGCTGACATAGTGGTTGTGTTGCGAACTTCAGAGAACAAACTTCTCCAGCAGCTGTTCTCTAGCCCATTAACAAAAACAGGTATGTTCTGCACAGCTTTGCTGACATTGTAACTTCTTCAGCTACCTGTTCCTCTCAAACTCCTACTTGATTCTGGACAAATTTTTTTTCTATTATTTTATCATGTCTTCTTTCCAGAGTGTTTGTTCTCCGATTTCAAGATTTCATTTCCTTTCATGAATCTTGTGCAGCAAGATTCTTCCCTGACTCCAGAGAAAGGGAGATTATTAGATGTGTAGGGCAACAGCTCATTCTCAGAGCAGGATAAAAATATGGGAGTTTCTAGTTCTTAGTCCTTTACTAAGATCAGTACTCACTTGGTAGATTTTCGTGTCTTACAGCTCATAAATCATGTGATATAGATCAAGGTGTTTTGGAGGTAATATCCATTTATTTAGAAGCACTGATGTAATACATCATTTCTTACAAATTATGAAAGCCATATACTAATAGGCTAGAAGTAATTCTGTTGATTTAAAGCTTGTTGACTTTGACTTACATGAAAGTGCCAGATCTGTAGCTAAATAAAACAGCAAGATGAAGTTTGATTACTCCATGGATAGATGCCAGAATGCCAGTACCATATGCAAATGATAGTTCTGCAGCATCCATGCAAACAAGCCAGCAAGCCAGCAAATGAATACTTCTCTCAATACTTATAAAGCATCTTTTTCATGATGGGTGAGAAAAGTATGTAATACTAAATCTAAATACAGTGGATGGTACTAGATTGCAAAATTACTGTGAGCTGACATATGGAGAGGACGTTGAATGTTTAGATAGAAATACTTGGTAGATGCATTAGATAGTGCTGGGTAGGCTTATTGTACATTGGCTGTAGGTGCAATCCTGTGACTGTGCACAGCTCTCTGCCTTGAATTTCTTGACTGTCAGTAACCCAGTCATAGCATCTGGTGATGCATATAACCTCTCTTGACATTTCTGTTTAGACAAAAAAACATCTGGAGAAAAAAACTATATTGAGCTTTTTTTGCACATGTAAAATTGATATTATAATATCTGTTTATATACTACAGAGGATAGGTTCCTGTTACAGGGTAATTCTTCCTGTAATTGAAAGGCTTTCAACTACCTCACCTCAAATTACACTTTCAGAGGTCCTTGAGAGGTGAGGATCCAGTGAAGAATCTGCTTCTCCTTCAGCTGTAATGAGTTTAGATGGAATAGAGTTTATGATGGAGGATTGGTTTGTGCCCAAGTGGGGAACAAAGGATCTTTTTATCTATTACTACTCTACTTTTGAGTCTGGGTTAAATTGATAAAAGAGATACTGATCAAGCAGAGCAAGAAAGAAAGCTCACACATGGTCAAATGTGCCTCCATACCCCTCTTTACAAGCTGTTTTACACCTTGGAGCTGTTGTCAGAATGAAACCAATTAGGTGCTTGTCTCAGTTATCAGTCCTAATTATTGCAAATATAATTTTTATTTTATTGCTATTTTTAAATCAGAATGCTGATGCCTTCATGCAAATTCATCTTTTTCTGGCATTATAGAGTTATTTTCAGTAGCAGCAGCACTCAACTTGAGTATTTTGCCTGAGATGCATTGAAGGTTCAGTAAGAGATACTTCTCATTGCAGTTAATGTAAAGTTACCATGCTGGTGTGTTTTACCTATTCTTACATTCCTTCCTTGTTTCCTATTTACATTAATGGAATGCTTTCTGCCTCCATTTACCTTTCTATAAAGAGCACACAGCAAGTTAAGTGTTTTCTGTATTTCTCAAGTTGGTACAGGACATCCTGATAAAAAAAAAAATTATTGTGCATGTGCTTCTATGCATGGTGTTATAGGAATAGCTTCAAGCTCTTATATAATTTTTATTTTTCAAAAGCCTTTGTGATTTTGCTCTTTTTTTCCAGCTGTCCAATATAATTGACATTCACATCCTGTGTTAGGGCCTCTGTGTTCTGAAATCAGATTGTTGCCAGGTTTAGTTTTGGCAGCTTGCAAGATAAATGAAAGGTTTGGCTGAGAACAGAAGGCATTGCTGGCAATGCTACTTCATCTGCTCTGTGAAGAAAGATAATGCTATTCTTTTAACTTTCTACAGAGATGCTTTTGTAAACAAAAGAATAGTGAGTGTGCATGTATTCCATTGTACTCTGTCCGTGTCTCTTAGCCCTCTTCCCTCCACTCAACATGTGCTTCATTCCTAAAGAAAACACAAAAAATGCAGATTAAGATTCATAACCTTGGTACAGCTTTTGGTCAATTACTGACTAATGCAAAAGTTAGTAATTTACATGGGAAGCCATATTCCATCTTTCCAGGTAACCCTGACTTGGAATGGCCTTTCTGGCAGTATGTGTGATGTTTTGTTTGAAGATGAGTGGCAGCACACTTTCCCATCTGCTGGCAGCCATCTCTGGAACGTGCAGTGTAGCTGGGTTTTGCCAAGCGCGGGCTCCCGTACGCGTTGCAGCCACTGGGTGGTGCTAAGCCAGAGGCGTGAGGGAGTGCGAGACTGAAATCGTGGGGCTGACAAGGACGGAAAATGTAGTTCTTTAAATACCAAAAAGAACAAAAAGATGCCTTTCCCACCCTGAGATGATCCTCTGTTTGAAGTATATTTATATAACTGTCATATCTTCCCCTGTCAAAAACTGAGCAGCATCCAGAAAATAAATACTAAAAAGCTAAATTCTTTTACTAATTTAAGATCATGTTAATCCTTGTAATTTATCAAGTACACTTATCCCTTCTCAACAAATGCTTCTATTTCACAGTAGCAGTCCTTGCAGTTTAAAGGGCCAGAAATTAACAGCAGGACATTAAATTTACATTTGTAATAGTAATTTATTGTTAATAAAGTATGCAACTACTCATATGAGACATTGGAACTTAAACATTCTGGAACTAATTTTGTAGCATATACAGCTTGTTTTTCCATCTTCCAGTGGAAATTTAGTCATGTTCAGTGTGTTCTGAAATATGCACTTTCTAGGGACCTTTTAACTTCAAAATTGAATGAATGTATTCTGATTTAACCTAACAGTTCTCCCATTTGCTTCCATATCTGTCACTTTTTTTCTGTAGACAGATCTTCTTGTGCTGCCACTACTATAGATGAATATGCATGTTCCCATTTAGATAGAATATATTCCTGATTATCTCTGGGTTTGGTTTATCACTGTTGCTGGTAAAGCATCAGAGAGAAAAGGAATTACATGAAGTAGAAAATAGAGTCCCCTTGTAAAAAATAGAGGATTTTTGTTGGAAAAATTTAAAACAGCCTTGGTACCTTCACCGTTGAGGAGTCAGACCATTTTGCTCACTGTCCTGATGTTCAGTAATTTTTGCAGCATCACCTATAAAGGGTGGTACTGTTGGATTGCTTGGGCAAAGCACCCCTGGGGGTTTTTGAGACTTTATCTTTTTAGAAAAGCTGCATCACAACAAGATCTTCTACTCCTGAAACAGAATCTCTGCAGACTTTTGTCCTTGCCATAACTCACAGACCTTTAGGACTTCAAGAAAGTTATCGTCTGCAGGGGGGGAAAGGGAAATCCTTCCCACCAGAAGAGGAGAGACACTGCAAAACATCCTTGTCCTTGCTCTGAGGATCAGTAAGGGTTTAGCTTGGCTACACAGAAGAAATACAAGCAACAGAAGAAATACTACAGCAACATCATATCTAATGATTTTAGCAGCATTGGGTATTGCTCACACATTAGGGTAATGGAGTATCCATTATATTATATATAACGGTATATCATTGCTTAAAAACACTCCTTGTATGTGGTGCCTATATATTTAATCATAAATATAATATATATTAATTCTCTGTCAGAGAGAATTGGGATGAGTGTTTTCACAACTGGGAGGAAAGGTTTGGTTAGTCATGTTTTAACAAGGTAATTTTTTTGTCCAAAGTAGAATTTTTTCCAGACACAAGTTATTTATAATTCACCTGTCTAAAGGTCATTTCTCCTCCTCAATATTGATGTTTAGTCTGTGTTCTTTCTGCCTTTGGGTCTCTAGTCTTGCTTACAAACCTTAGATGTAAAGTAATTATAAGTAGTGTATGTTTGTTTACCAAACCAAACAACTAACAGACCATGTGCTAAGAGAAAATGTGAAAAAAAATGTTTCAGGTTAGCTTTATGCACACTAAAGCACTAAAGAACAAAAGAACTATGGCCTTTTGTTAAACCACTTTAGAGAACTTCTTTTCACCACTTCTTGGTGACTAGAGTACTATCTTTAACTTGTGTGTAACTTGTGTGTAACTGTGATAGCACATGATTCCTCATGACAAGTCAGAAACCAAAGGAAAGATTTTCTTGCATTTCAGTCCTATGAACAGGTACTGCTGGGCATACATGGAGTGTAATCCTGGCAAGTCAAAATCATAGGTGCTTTGCCACTGTTTTCAGTAGAACCTGGTAGGTTTGAGCTGTCATGTTTGTCACTGGGCACTCCTATTGAGCACAGGCCCTTGCTCTGGCAATATATAGTGGTAGGTCTCTTGGTTTAGTGTGTGTTATTCACTAAAATACAGAATGCTTCCATTTGGGTTTAGTGTATTTTTTCCTCTTATTTCCATCCATCACAATAGAACCAAATGCTCAAAAACATTTTAATTTTACTAATTTATTCCACAATAAAATTTTCTTATAATGGTACTTTTGTGTTAGTATTTTCACCTGTAAGAGATCAGGCACTCTTAAGTCAAATTAATTGGAAACAAAGTCATTGTAATTACAGTATCTCTACTTAAAAATTAATTAGAATTTATATTTTGTAAGAATCTTGGCAAAATTAATGGAAGCTGTGTATTTCACTCAGGACATGGAGGCTTTTATACTTCTAACTGGTCTGTATGTTAAAAACACAGAAATAGTTTTTGCTCTGCTGCCAGTGAGTTGTATGCAAAGAGAAGCTTTAAACCACAGCTGTGCAGTGTAACAGTCGTGAACTTTACTGGGTTGCAGATGTGGGATATCAGTAAACTCAATTAATTGTAGCAGAACTGATTTTGGGAGGTAGAGTGAT